GGGAGGATTTATTTACCCTCTATAGCTGTCACTGGAGCTGAGAGCCGGCTCCAGCTCTGAGGCCCAGCTCCAGCTCTGAGGCCCGGCTCCAGCTCTGAGGCTGTCACTGGCTGAAAGCAGGTATCTGGGGTTTGTTTAGCTACTATAATCGAAACATTGTTGCTTCCGATGCTCAGAGCTGGACCGTGGCAGGCAGGGAACCTTAGCTTCCTCCATCACTGGAGCAAGCAAGCCTCATGTTCGCTTCAGCTGCGTGGCTGCCGGCCGCCATCTTTGTTGGCGCTTAATTTGCATATCCTGCTGATTAGCCAATGGGAAGCATAGTGAAGGTATGGTCAATTACCATGTTTGTCTATTATTAGATAGGATAGTGTAAGGTAAGTATAAAATGATAACTGTAATTACCTGAAAGAATCAGATCTGGAATGCCCTTTGATGTTATGATTACTTGTACACCTACAATGTGTGACATTCATCTAAGGATTAATGGCTCTACTGTAAACTTTTATGATAATTTTCTTCTGGCTTTGACTCCCAGCAGCTGACCAGAATGTGTTTGAATTCATACAGAAATAATGTTGATATCTGAAACCCATGTCGAACTTCTATGAAGAAAGGGCAACAATGATTGCAGCTGGGGATTTGCAGGAATTTGTTCCTTTCGGTCGAGACCACTGCAAACACCACCCTAATGCTTTGAACCTTCAGCTTCGGCAGCTGCAGCCAGCCTCTGAGTTGTGGTCGTCTGATGGTGCTGCTGGCTTGGTGGGATCCCTGCAGGAAGTTACAATCCACGAAAAACAGAAGGTTTTATTAAGATTCTCAGTTTGTTTTTGAAATGTAGAGAGATTCGATCTACTTGTAATTTAAGGCTACCCAGATGCAACTGAGAAATGAATATGATGCTACTTTTAGGGCACCGGTTAAGATTTGGTAATTTTAATCAAGGCTAAAAATAATGACCTTATTGTATTATAGTGTCATGGCTGTTTATTTAGACATGTAACTCATGGATTTATAATGACAGTCACTATGATTATGGTCCATTTAAAACCTCTTTCTTCACTTAGTATGCGGGGACCAGATTTCATGGTCCCCACATGGTTATTTGATGATTAGATAGTAGAGTTAGAAATGATCCCTGCTGCCAAATACTTGCATGTTTCTAGAGGAGAAAAGAAATGCCACATAGATTTAGTACTAGTTTTTAAATAGAGGAATGAGAAGTAAGTGCATGTTAAATATTCAGTCTTTCTCATCTTATTCCAACATTTCAGGGTGGAGAAGTCTGTAGTTAGAAATCTAAACCTTTCTCTGCCCTGTTCATTTTGACGGTTGGCACAGGGCAGGAAGGTGAATGTATATGCAGTTGTGAAGCAGGGAAATCTGCATGGTGGGTAAGCTCCCCCAGTGTCCCAGTGCACTTCACTGCCCCCTCTGCTTCACCCCCTATGCTTAAAATGTCTTTTTAGTCTCCCAAGAATGTTGGTTTAATTTTGGGATATATAAGAAAGGTCTAATTTTTGTTTATGGCAGCATAATATGGTAATATAATATAAAACACTTAATATGGAGAATTCTTGAGTATGTTCTCATTTATGAAATCAACCTAAGAGTTACACTTGGACTGAATCTTACTCCACAGGCAACGAGAGAGTAGGAGACTTGTATCTGGATTGCTGTTCAATTTTAATTAATAAATCTTGCTCCATAATGTTGCAAAAGAAATAAAAACCGCTTAAACATGTCTTACGTATGTAAATTTTTAAGGAAAGCTGGCAGTTAAGGAGAGGCGGAAGTGAAATTGGAGAAGTGGATTATGACGAGGAACTCTATGTGGCTGGAAATATGGTGATCTGGAGCAAAGGAAGGGCATTGGCTGTTTACAAGGCCTTTACAGTCGATAGTCCTGTTCAACAGGTGAGTTGATTTGAATTTTAGTATTTGATTGACTATTGCATATTTAAAAAAAATATATAGCTCTTGCTCTAATATTTAGCAGAAATGATAAAAACAGAGCATAATTGTCCCAGTAGCTGTGTATATGTTTTAACATGTGAAGATAATGGTAGGGAAGTAATGGTAGGGAAGATAATGGTAGGGAAGTATTTATTTTTCTATATCAGTTTTTTACACCATTCTTTTTCAATTTAATGGTAATGTTTAAGCACTTGAGTAATCCAATCAATTATTGTCAAAATTTATAGGACTAAGGGTACAAGACTATATTAACACATGATTATATTTGATTGCATAATGTTGAATAAATAAAAATCAGATTCATGGTAGTACTCAGAGAGTAAGGGAAAGGAAAACAAATCTAATTTGTTGTCATTGTACTTAGCCATTACACCTAATTTTGTCCTAAAAATTAGTAATTAAAGGGACAGAATTAAGCATTTGCCCTGCCTTTTTAGGAAGCCTTGCAGTTCATCTCCAGTTAATAAAGGAAAACCCTTATTTAAAGAAGAATACCAGCTAATAAATATAGAAGGAATGGCAGAATTTAAAAATCACCGTTTTGTACTCTCCAGTGTAACCTCTGATTCAGATAAAGGTTGTAAATAGATAGTAATTCCAGTACGTGAAAGGTATTTAGGTGTCACCCAAAGTGAAGAAACAAGTGCATCTCTATTTTGAAGCTGCATGTTGTTCTCCACCTCCACAACCTGGTGGGTTTACCATCACTGATAGGGGACAGAGGACTCTTTTATACCTACAGCTGTAATGTGGCATGGAGACATGATGTCATCTACTCAGTTTTCTTCCCCAAAATATTTGACATGAATATGTAGACTTAACTTCCAGTTATAGGAAGTATGGGGGCTAGAGGATCAGTTTGTAAAATGAGATGAGGAATGGGTGGAGGTATAGATGAAACAAGAACCACCAGAAATTGAGAATTATTGAAGCTGGTTGATCGGGATGCATCACATTACTCTTTGTATTTTGTATACTAGAGGCCCGGTGCACAGAAATTTGTGCACTGGATTGGGGGGGGTCCCCTCAGCCCAGCCTGCCCCTCTCTCACATACTGGGAACCCTCAGGGATGTCCTACTGACGGCTTAGACCCGCTCCCTGCTCCCCTTGGGGAGCGGGCCTAAGGCACAGTCTTGGCTTCCATTTGTGGGAGGCAACCGGGGTGTTCAGGGGAAGGCACCAGCCCCATCACCCCGCTGCTAAAGCCACTGCCAGTCACCGCAGCCACCAAAGTGTTTTCATCAACATGGACTCCAGTCCCTTCACCATGAAAAAATGACAACTTTCTTTAGGCATTTTCAAGATGTGTCTTTCATAGGATATGACTTTTTTTTTTTTTAACCCTCACCTGAGTATATGTTTCCATTGATTTTTAGAGAATGTGGAAGAGAAAGGGAAAGACAGAGAGAAACATCAAAGTGAGAGGAACACTTTGATTGGTTTCCTCCTGCATGAGCCCTGACCTGGGCCTGGGCCAGGGAGGAGCCTGCAACCCAAGTATATGCCCTTAGTCAGAATTGAACCCAGAACCTGTGGTGGGCAGGCTGAGGCAATAACCACTGAGCAAAACCAGCTAGGGCAGGATATGACATTTCTTAGCCCTCCAGCAGCGAACCTTTTTTTCTCCAGGAGTGTGGTAAAAAACCCTAGATAACCCTATTGGATTCTTATTACCCAAGTTACTAAGAATATTACCAGTGGCATACAGGGAGCTTAGCTAATGAGCAGTCAGAAAAGGTGTTTCCTCTGTAGTTCACACCAATTGCCGGCTTGGCCCCTGCCCAGGCCTAACACCTCTAGCCAAGGTGTTAGGCCTGGGCAGGGGTCCCCCAGCTCCCCGCGATTGCCAGCTCCGCCCCTGCCCAGGCCTAATGCCACTGACCAAGGCGTTAGGCCTAGGCAGGGGACCTCCAGCATCCTGTCATCGCTGGCTCCCTCCCTGCTCCCTGTGATCGCTGGCTCTGCCCCTGCCCAGGCCTAACGCCTGTGGCCCAGTCGTTAGACCTGGGTAGGGGAACTCCAGCTCCCTGCAGTCTCCGGCTTCACCCCTGCCCAGGCCTAACGCCTGTGGCCGAGGCATTAGGCCTTGGCAGGGGACCCCTCAGCTCTGGTTGCAGGCTCCGATTGCCGCTGGGCGCCTATGAATGCAAATTAACTGCCATCTTTGTTTGGTTAATTTGCATACTCATTCAATCGACTGGTGGGTGTAGCAAAGGTACAGTCAATTTGCATGTTTTTCTATTATTGGGTAAGATAGTTGACTTTTCTATAATAAAAAAGCTTAAAGAAAAAATCACTGCGAGGAACAATTTGACAAATCCAGAATATGGGACAGTCTATATTGTGGTCTCTTTAAAGAGTTGGTCACGTGAGAAAAAAAAATGGTGGGGCCTGTTCTAGATTAAAAGAGACTAAAGGGACATCACCAAATGCAGTATTTTATGTTTTGCACCTTGTTGAATGAACTTGGATTGAACCCTGATTCTAGAAAATTGGCCAAAAAAGACATTTTGGGGGAAATTTGAAAAGTTGCAAATGAATTATTAGGTGATGTTAGAAGATTTTTTTTTCCTAGGCAAGATGATGGTTTCATGGTGTATAGGAGAAAATCTTTATTTTGGGGAAATGCATGATGAAGTGTGTGGGGGTGATGTGTCATGAGGTGGGGGATTTTCAGGTAATAAATACCCCCCACCCAAATCCCCCTCATACCCATAAGCAGATATGGCATAATGTTAACAACTGTTTGATTTAGATGAAGCAGGTGTTCACTGTACTATTTCAGCTTTTCTTACTGAAAATTTTTAGAATAAGAAGTTTTGGGGAAAAAGAGTACATTTATAATAGTTGAATTAATTGTTGGGCTAGTGGTGAGAGTTCAAGGCTTTTTGACTAACATTAAGTTACTTATTGGTAAACACTGAACACTGGTCTTGGTATCTGGACACTGCTTTCCACCCATTAACTGTTTCCTAATGAACATTGTACTCTCCTAACAATATATTGGGAAGGGATAACCTGAATTACTCCTAAATTTGAGGGCATGTGTAAAAGCATTTCTGTCCAGGAGTGTTGAGATCAGTGATAGTTTGATGATATTTTTACCCCCATGTAACCGTATGATTAGTGTAGTTCTGAAAAGTGGCATGACGATATCCAACTAGTGCTTTGCTTCTATGTTTCCATCTTAAATTCTCCAAGGAATGATTGCCTGTTGACTAGATTTCATGGATGTGCATTTAAATGTATTGTCTCTTATCTCCTTTATCTTAGGATCATTTATAAGTAGAATACGATATGTAATTTCAGTCCTTTTGGTCTGGAAAACATGTTGTTATTTTAGTCTTCTTGCTAGTATGGAGAAAGATAATTTTATATTTTGGTTAAGAAACAATACCAGGTGCATGTGACTCATATTTAGTTGATCCCTTCCTTTATTCCTCAAGTGTTTAGTATCCCTGTTTCAGACAGGGTGCTGGGCACTAGGGCGATGAAGATGGATATTTGTTGTCGGCCATCGAAGAACTCATACTGTTAAGGATGAATAAATATACAGATAACTAAAATGCTGTATGCAAATAAACTAAAGTGCCATATACCAGCTGTGTCCACAGTGTGGTGGAGCCAAGGGGAGTGGCTCTGTAAGAAGGATTTCTCAAAGAAGTTAGTTGCTGATTGAACTGGAAGTTGGGGAAAGCTAGGCAGAGGGAATCACAGCCAAAAGAGATGGAAAAACATGGTGTTTTCTAAGTTCAGAATGTATGTACATTGGGTGTGGAGAGGTGCTTGCAGGGGCGGAGTGGGTCCAAACTGAAGGGCCTTGTTTGTACTTGGAAACTTGGATTTTAAATTGTATGCAGAAGGAGCCTGCCAAGGACGTTAAAATGGAAAGTATATCTTAAGTTCTGTATTTTGAGAAGATAATACTTTGGTGGCAATGTGTAGGATTGGCTGGAGAGTAGAGAGACTGTTGTCAATGATACTGTTTTATGATAGTTCAGAGGAAAAAGATTGGTGCCATGAAGAGAGAAGACGGAGCTGAGGGACATGTGCAGGGGACTAGGGATGTCTGTGACATCAGGAGTAAGGGAGAGTGTGAAAATACTATGCTGTCAGAGGCTGGGAGGATGGGATTTCATAAAGGGAAACTGAGACTTTAGTGTAGATGTTTCAGGTGGGCTCTAATGCTGGTTTTTCCTAACTCAACAACAGAACGAACAATTCAGTTTATAACAGGGCAGAGGGCTTGAATGGACAATTCTCTAAAGAAGATATGCCCATGGCCAATCAGCACATGAAACAGTGCTTAGCATCTTTAATCATTATGCAAATGCTAATCAAAACTACAATGAGATACCTACTGGGATGGCTGTTATATTAAAAAAATAGCAAGTATTGGTGAGGATTTTGAAATGAACCCTGTGCATTGCTGGTGATGGAGTAAAAAAAAGCCTTTGTGGGAGACAATTTGGTTGTTACTCAAAATGTTATTAAACCTAGGATCATCATGTGATCCAGCAATTCTTGTGGGTATCCTATATAATAAAAGCCTAATATGCTAAGTGTCCAGTCGTCTGGTTGGCTGTTCAACCAATCAAAGCATAATATGCTAATGATATGCTGAGGCTGCTCAACCGTTCGCTATGACGTGCACTGACCACCAGGGGGCAAATAGTCAACCAGTTGACCAGTCGTTATGATGAGCACTGACCACCAGGGGGAAGATGCTTCGACCAGTAGGTTAGCTTGCTGCAGGGGTCTGGCCAATCAGGACCGAGCGAGTGGGCCGGACATGCTCTGGATAATATGCTAATGATATGCTGAGGCTGCTCAACCGTTCGCTATGACGTGCACTGACCACCAGGGGGCAAATAGTCAACCAGTTGACCAGTCGTTATGATGAGCACTGACCACCAGGGGGAAGATGCTTCGACCAGTAGGTTAGCTTGCTGCTGGGGTCTGGCCAATCAGGACTGAGCGAGTGGGCCAGACATGCTCTGGGGCCCTCCCCGGCTGGTCAACCTCCTGTGTCCCTCCCCAGCCCTAATTGTGCACAGGTGGGATCCCTTGGCCAGGCCTGCGCCCTCTCGAAGTCCAGGACCCCTCAGGGGATGTCAGAGAGCTGGTTTTGACCCAATCCCGCAGGCCAGGCTGGGGGACCCCACTGGTGCATGAATTTGTGCACCAGGCCACTAGTCTATATATATAAAAATCTAAGCGACCGTTTGACCGGTAGCTATGACACGCACTGAGCACCAGAGGGCAGATGCTCAACACATAGGCATGGAAAGCTGAAACAGACTGATGAATTTCAGGGGAGTGGGGGGAGGGCAGGAATAGTAACCAAGGTTCTTATATGCATACTAGAGACCCATGCATGGATTCGTGCACCAGTGGGGTTCCTTGGCCTGGCCTACGGGGATTGGGCCAAAACCAGCAGTGCGACATCCCCTGAGGGGTCCCAGATTGTGAGAGGGCGCAGGCCAGGCCGAGGGACCCCACCAGTGCATGAATCCATGCACCAGGCCTCTAGTATATACATAAAAGCATTGAAAGTAGGGACTCAGATAATCAACACCAGTGTTCATAGCAGCGTTATTCACAATAGTCAAAATTGGAAACAGTCCAAGTCAAGTCTGTGAGGATAGGTGACTGGATAAATAGTATGTGGTATATGCCTACAATGAAATATTATTCAGCCTTTGGAAGAAGGACATTCTGACATGTTACACATGGATGAACCTTAAGGACATAATGCCAGACATAACAAATACTGTGTGGTTCCACCTTTATTGTTAAGTAAAGCTGTAGATTGTAAAATAGCTCTTCTGATAATCTTTAGTTTTATATAGGACATAGGGTCTAATACAGGTTAAGCTGCTATTTGAGGTCACTTTTGTGGCAAGGCTTCTATCTAGTAGATTTTTAAAATTTTTGTCTTCCCTTTTCATAAAATTTATTTCCACACATGGTTTATCTTTCCTTGTAATATTTATCATTAATTAGTCGAATTTTATTTTATCTTTTTTTTATTCCCGTGGTGCATGTGTTGAATTGATGAGACAGTTATGTAAATGTCATAATTATCTAGATACCATTTTAACAGGCTGTTGTTTAGATACAATTTTCTTAGGCGAGCATTTTGTTTTAATTTTAGGCATTGTGGTGTGACTTCATTATATCACAGGATAAGTCTGAAAAAGCCTACAGTAAGTTTCTTGAAATTTTATTGCACTTTTTGATTCCAAAGGTATACCTCATTGTTTTTTTCTTCAAAATAATTAGTCACTAATAATAGTGGTTTTGCTTAAGTATTTTTATCTTGCTCATTAAAGAATTTGTGTTATTGGGAATTGTAATTTTGATGGGAATTTTTTTTTGGGAAAAAAGCATACATATTGTTATATCCTTTTTTTGCAGGTAGCGCTGAAGTAGAAAAATGTATATGTATATTGCAAAGCTCATGTATCAACATGCATAGCATAGAAGGAAAGGATTACATAGCTTCTTTACCTTTTCAGGTAAACTTGAGTGTTTCCATGCTGTTGTGTTTGGTTGGAGAATACTTTTTAGTTAATTGGTTTCAGAAGTATTACTACTTTTATATCTTACAGTTATCAAGGAGGTTATTTTTACTCAAAATAACTAAGCAGCTTTAGTTGCTTACCATTTCCCCATTCTTTGCATAAAAAGTAGTTTAGTAGAATGAATATGAAGTCTTTTCTGAGTTTTTTTTTTTCAATTGAAGTGATACACAGGAAATAATTTTGATTATATTAAGCACATGATAGCTTTAGTCTTTCCCTGTTTCTCTTCATCACATTAAAGTTTTATCACATTGTAACTTTGCTACTGATATTTGCATCCCTTGGCAGAAAATTTGGGTTGAATATTTCCTTACAGTAGACTTGATTTTGTCTTACACTTGCTTATTAGAATTACTTTTTAAAAATATTATAGTCATGTTATTTACTTATTTTTTAAATATATTTTTATTATTGATTTCAGAGAGAAAGGGAGAGGGAGAGATAGAACCATCAATGATGAGAGAGAATCACTGATGGACTGCCTCCTGCACGCCCCTACTGGGGATCGAGCCCACAACCCGGGCTTATGCCCTTGACCGGAATCGAACCTGGGACCCTTCAGTCTGCAGGCCGACGCTCTATCCACTGAGCCAAACCAGCCAAGGCGATCATGTTATTTTGTAAAGCTCTTGTTAAATTAGAAGAATATCTAATTTTCTATATTGTTTTCTGAAAACATGTTATAAAGAGTAGTTTACTTCTGTTTTCCCCACCCTTTTACCTGGCAGGTTGCAAATGTTTGGCCCACCAAATATGGATTGTTGTTTGAACGAAGCAGTTCTTCACATGAGATACCTCCAGGTCCACCCAGGTATCCAGTTTCCTCAGTTCAGAATATTATTACTAGCGCTTTTTTTGTGTCGGTTCTGAGGTGAAATCGTTTCCCTATGAATTTGGGATGACAATAATTTTCATGAAAACAGCATAGATTTATGCCACTTTCTCTCATCTCAGTGATGGGCACTCCTGAGTCTTCTCCTTACTTGGGTACTGAGTCACCTACAGTTCCTTCCCCAGCCCCCCAAGTTGTAAAATCGAACAAGTATAAGGTTTAAAGATAACAGTACTCAATTCTTAACTCTCTCATCTTTTTATTGTGCTTCTTTGGGCAAATCATTGGAGCCTTCTTGGCTTTAGTTTTATTATTTGTTATAGAAATACTCTACCTCATGGATTTATGCAGGATTAGGTGAGCTAATGTATACAACCTGTTTTTGTTGTTAATCCTTACATGAGGATTTTTTCCATTGCTTTTCAGAAAAAGTGGAAGGGAGGGAGGGAGGAAGGGAGGAGCGACAGGGAGAGAGTGGTTGCGGGGCGGGGGAGAGAGAGAGAGTGTCTCTCGCATGTGTCTCTCGCACATCGACTGGTTGCCTTCTGCACATGCCCCAACTGGGGGTGAGGAGCGAACCTGCAACCAAGGTACATGCCCTTGACTCAGAATCAAATCTGAGACCCTTTGGTATGTAGCAGACAGTCTATCCATTGAGCAATACTGGCCAGGGCTAAAGTATCTAACCTTTGACACAGGGCTTAGTATGTATTAGAAGCGCAAGGAATGGTAGGTGCTCATTGATGGTGTCTTTACCTGTCTCTGAATGAATCAGTTATGAGCTCACTGAAGGGTAGGGACATGCAGTGCCTTATCACAGTGTGGTGCAAGTAGTAGATACTATGGTTTTAGAAAATTGCTTACAGATTTTAATCTCTTTCTGTGTTTAGATGGAAGGTCTGTTCCCCTCTCCTCTTTAAAACACACAACCTCTTTATTTACTTGAAGTTTTTCTTTTCAAGTACACTCCTGTGTAAATAGGTGTAGGAGACAAAATTTCTTTCTTAGCTTCCAAAGACACTGCTGCTAACAGTGGTTACAAAAAAGCAGACTGCCTTATGCCCATTACCCCATTGTTCCATAATGCTATGACTGCTGTTTGCAGATTGTCTCTGGGTTGCATTGATTTTCCTGGGTTGGGTATGCTTAGAGTCTCCTGCATAAGAGGGATTTCTAGGAATAGGAGAGACCTAACTGTGGAGTACAAACTCTTTGTACTCCATCCACAGTTAAGTATGACTAAAAAACAGTCTGTAGAAAGTTTAGAAAGCTTCTTTTTGAGAGGATAGGTTTCTAGTTTTTAGTGTAATTTAGAGAAGATATTTCTTTGCAAGGGAGGTGCAAAATTTGTGCACAAAGTCATCTTGTATTGGCGATTGACTATTTGTTTTTTTATTACTAGAGAACCTTTACCCACTTTGTTCAGCATGCTGCATCCACTAGATGAAATAACTCCACTTGTTTGTAAATCTGGAAGTAAGTGTATTTTTAGACATTCTTTTACATAGCTCTTTTTTGGAATTTGGGGGTGGGGAGAAATTGAAGGCTCTTATAAAACTTAAACTTGTTTCATAAAAATAATATAATTTAAACATTTTACGAAAATAACCTTTTTATTATGAAAATAGTTCATATTAAAGTAAGAACTTCTTGAATACCATTATATTAACTATTTTAACAGCTATTCTTTTCCTGAAAATAGGGCCTATAAATTGATCAGGATTACTGATAGATTTGCTAATCTCTCTATAGAAGACTTTGGTCTCTGTTCCTTAGTGATTAATAAGTAAATGAATGATACTTAGATGAGCTAAAATTGATTACTTCTTTGAAGAGAAAAATATAGGTTCTTATGCCCCACTGTGTAAATTTTATTTTTTTATTTTTAAAAAATAAATTTTTATTGGTTTCAGAGAGGAAGGGGGAGAGAGAGAGATAGAAACATCAGTGATGAAAGAGAATCATTGATCAGCTGCCTTCTGCACACCCCACACTGGAGATCGAGTCTACACCCCAAGCATGTGCCCTAACTGGGAATTGAACCGGGTACTCCTGGTTCATAGGTCGATGCTCAACTACTGAGCCACGCTAGCTGGGCTGTACTGTGTAAATTTTAATATTTCATTTTCCCTGCTCATAAAAACCTGATTTCCTGGGGCTCAGTCTTTTAATATTTGCTACAGATATTTCTGTATGAGTATTTTAAAATGTTCAATGTGGCCAAACATGATAATTGGTAATTGTGATTAGCAAGGATAGAAAGCTAAAAAAAAAATTAATATATACACACACACGCACACACACACGTATATGTTTTTGTCTTATTTTTAGGATTTTTATCCCAAGTACATATTCTGAAATATCATGAGGTGTTTGTCTTCTGTATCAGGGCTTGGCAAACTATAGCTGGTAAGGCTTAAGAGCTAAGAATGGTTTTTACCTTTTTATTTTTATTTATTTATTTATTTATTTAAAATATATTTTATTGATTTTTTACAGAGAGGAAGGGAGAGAGATAGCGAGTCAGAAACATCAATGAGAGAGAAACATCGACCAGCTGCCTCCTGCACATCTCCTACTGGGGATGTGCCCGCAACCCAGGTACATGCCCTTGACCGGAATCGAACCTGGGACCTTTCAGTCCTCAGGCCGACGCTCTATCCACTGAGCCAAACTGGTTTTGGCGGTTTTTACCTTTTTAAAGGGCGTAGAAAAAAATACCCCAAAAAGATTAAAAAGCCTAAACTAGTTACTCTTTGGTCTTTTACAGAAAAAATTTTGATAATTCTATATTGTATTGGTAACAGTTACAACATAAATAAACATGCTAGCACCTGTGATTGAATTGTGTGTGCCCATTATTGATCATGTTTTTGAATAATAAACTCAGGAGTTGCTTATTCATAATGTTAAGTATGATGTAAAACAGTACAAATTGATTTTGATTTTGAAAAGACCTGAGAAGTGTGTGTATATGTATAGGGGAAACTAGAAAAAATACTCCCTGATGTATTAATAGTGGCTATTGAGATGGTGGTATTATGAGTGCTTTTTATTTTTTTAAATAAAATACTTACTTTTATAAAGAATTTCATTCTTTTATTTTCTAATTTAACTGAAAGGGGAGCATTTAATATGTTGTTAAATAGGGACAGAGAAGTCAATTCTTGGCACTATCGGGAACTGAACTCTAAGCCTTATTTTGCATGTATAATTAGTAAAGCAGAAACAGGTGTACTTTTCACTGTTTGAATGGTTATTATGAAGGACTAATTTCATACAGAAGAAGAGAATCGATAAGGAAGTCAAACTTGGTAGAATAGTTGATTGAAATTGATAAACAAGTTGGTTATTGGAGGAGTAGACCTTTCACCCATGGCTGATGAATTTAATGGTGGATCAGCACAAATCTTCATATTTTAATTGTGTGTATGTGAAATTGAAACTGGTAACTCTCTCATCTTTAACGTATTCTGAGGAATTTGATGCTCAAAGTAAATTTATTAAAAATATAGGGTTAATTAATTAATATATTAATGGATTTTGTGCCTTAATTGGTTTGGTTTCTCTTGATCTTTAGGAATTGCAAGGTGTCTTTACAGATTTGTAAAGTTTATTGTTCAAAAGCTCATCATTTCTGTTTGATCTTTCAGGTCTTTTTGGTTCATCACGGGTTCAATACGTTGTAGATCATGCGATGAAAATAGTTTTTCTCAGCACTGACCCCTCCATTGTAATGACCTATGACACTGTTCAGTGTCTGCATTCTGTGTGGGTTCTCCGGAGAGTCAAAGCAGAGGTAAGAATAAAGGATAATTAATACTGAAAACCTTCACCTGTTTTTGTGAAATAGATTTGAGCTTCTTAGGGAAAAAGAAAGATCGTGTCCTTAAGAATTCATATCCACCCTGAATTTTCACAAGGAAATTACCCTTTTTATCTAATTATAACCTTTTCTTCCCTCTCATCATTTTGCCTTCAGGAAGAGAATGCTGTTTTAAAATTCTCTGAACAGGGGGGCACCCCTCAGAACGTGGCCCCCAGTAACTCCCTCACAGCAAACCTCAGAAGCCTCTCCAAGGGAGACTCCCCCGTGGCCTCGCCTTTCCAGAATTACTCCTCCATCCACAGTCAGAGCCGCTCCACCTCCTCGCCCAGCCTGCACTCACGCTCTCCTTCCATCTCCAACATGGCGGCTCTAAGGTGGGGATCCACTGTGGGTGTTACCTTGTTTTACCAAGATAGACCAAGAAAAACATAACTTTTTTGAAACTTTCTCTTAGTTTTGAGGAATTTAAAATGTCGGTTGCCAGCCCTTGGATAGTTTTGGGGAAGACAGCCATTATTCCAGTTGTGTTAGTAAGACTTTCAGGTCTACTGTGTTACCCGTTTTTAACGAGTCATATTGGAGGCAGCCTGTGTTTGTTATAAAATTAGTTATCTTATTTGTGCTAAATGGCAGCAGTTCGATGAATATTGGTTGCAAAAATATTTTGATGCTATTTGGTCTTAATTCGAATTAGTTTTTCTTTTGTTTGGTTGTCTCTCTAGCTATTATCTATCTATTGATACAGTGATGTAGTTTTGTTGGTGTGCAAATGTGAGCATACAGGAACATAGTTTAGACGTTTTGAATGATATAAATAATTCATTTTTTGAGGTAGAAAGTGAACTGATTTTCAGTTTTAAAAGAAGGAATTCTAAGAAGAATTGGAAATCTTTACAATATAATAGAACACATTAACATGAAGTAGTTATTCCTTTTTCAAGAAGTTGTTTTTCTGACTGGGGTTTTGCCATCACGAATGCTCTTTGTACCCAGAAGTTTGGAAAGTGTTACTGGAAAGCGTGTGATACCACTTTGCACTGTGGTTGTGATGCCCTCTCTCCTCTGTTTTGCAGTCGTGCTCATTCCCCTGCTTCAGGAGTGCACTCTTTCACGGGGGTGCAAAGGTTCAACCTTTCAAGCCATCATCAATCTCCAAGGAGACACAGTATTTCTCATTCTCCAGATAGTAATTCGAATAGCTCTTTCCTTGCACCAGAAACAGAGCCAATTGTTCCTGAACTTTGTATTGACCATTTATGGACGGAAGCGATTACTAATATAAGGTTTGTAGTATGTATTTTATGTTCAAAGAAAAATGTTGCTAAAAGTCTTAGAAGATACTTGTTATTTTGCCTAAACTTCTTTTAAAATGTTCAGTTATTAAAACTTATAAACATGTATAGACACGTATTAAGGCCACCTCTGTTTCAGGAGAGGATGTTAATGACATTAAAGTGATCATAAAAAATTTTTTTTAAATTTTTTATTACAAAGGGTATTACATATGTGTCCATTTTTCCCCCTGCCCTAGTAAAAATTTTTTTGTGTCATTTGTTATTTCTTTTTTAACTTAGTAATCGCTCAGATTTGAGGTGTTTGATGGTATAGAGAGAAACAACTAATTTCTGTAGATTAGGAAACTTGGGATTTTTATAACATTTTTTAATGTTTTTCTCTTTATGTTAGTTGAATGTTGCCTGTTCTTGGGAAACACAGTTCAGGTCTGTTCTGTGGGACCTTTCTCCTTTTATGTTCTCATTAATTATCCATTCATTAATCTGCCAATCCCAGTGTGTGTGCTAGTTGCTGCGGGTTAGGCAAATTAATCACTGTCCCTGGCCTCAAAGAGACATGGAAGGATGGTGACACAGGAGACATTCCCTGTTCCAGTAGGGCTTTGGAAAGATGGAGAGAGCACAGTGGTCAGAGGGCCTCAGAATAGATGTTCATAAGGTTGAGCGCGTGGTATGTTCAGGGAACTACAGATGCTCTTAATCCGCTTGTGCCTGGGGAAGAGAAAGGGCTGAGAAAGAGAGGTTGTCCTTTAGGGATCTTCCCTTTGGTGAGAGTTGTAAGAAGGTGCTTTATCTGTGGTTTTAAATTCAGGGGAAAGAGCAGAGCAAAAACCGAGGGAGTTATGGGCTTATAAGTGGTGTTTGAGGTGAGAGAGCTGGAATTGAAGGAGTGTGTAGGGGTCAGATTCCTGGAGGTCCTGTGAGTGAGCTTGGGATTGCAGCGAGTCTGGTAATCCTCTGGAGCCATGCATAGTAATCATGTGTAGGCCTTTTCCTCAGGAGAGGTTTTCACATTTATTAGCTTCTCAGAGTGGGTCTGTGACCTCCATGTAGTTAAAACGTAGTGATGTCGAATTAGAAGATGGCTAGGGACTGAAATCTTGGAAACAAACTTTTGCGGGTGGAAAATGAAAGAGGAAGCTGCTGCAGAGAGACAAAGCAAGGGGTCAGATGGGAGAAGCAGCAGGAAAGAAATGTCATGGAACCCAAGAAAAGAGCCTTTCACAAGAAAGTGCCACTGTTACCTGGAGCTGGTGAGGTGTGGCATAAGAGGTACCTGGAGGGCAATGATTTCCACCAGTGACCTTGGCAAGAACACTTGGGGAACAGGTGGTGGAGTGCAGTGAATGGAGGAAGTACTAGGAAATGGGGCTGAGGAAATGAGCATAGATGAAGAGACTGTTTTAAAGAGATTGCCTTTGAATGACGTTGAGGATACATAACTAGCCATACAGAGTCTCTAGGTCAAGGCAGAGTTTTGTTTATGTTGACCTACTTAAAGAAAATTTACCTTAATGACTAAATACCTTATTGTGTGTCCCTAAAAAGTAAGGACAATTCCTTATCCAACAGCAGTACCATTGTTAACCCAGCTATTTAACAGTAAGTTCTTATCTCATCTAATAGTCTGTCTTTGTGTTTCAAGGCTTTCATGTTAATACTAGAGGCCCGGTGTACAAATTCATTCACAGATGAGGTCCCTCAAGCGGAGGGACCATGGGAGGTTGGCTGGGGGAGCGCACTGACCACCAGGGGGCAGCTCCTGCACTGAGCATCCGCCCCTTGGTTGTCAGTGCACATCATAGTAACCAGTCGACTGGTCGTTCGGTTGTTGGGTTGCTTAGGCTTTTACGTATAAAGATGACACAAAGCGTTCTTGTATGCTGAAATTAAAATGGGTTCTTGAGATTTCCTGACTTTATTTTTGACCCATGCCCTGCTGGGGTCCTGAGCACACATTCGGTTTTCTTACTGGGCCCTCCAGCCCCGATCAGAGGTTTCAACCTCTCGGCTCTGTGTTTACGGGCGATTCTCCTGTGTCGGTATATATGTATTTATGTATATATGTATATATGTATATATGTAGATATAGATATAGATATAGATATGATATAGATATAGATATAGACGAGAGAGTAGGTTTTAAGGAGCATAACCAAAACAGGGAAATGACAAGGGACAAAACCAGCAAGGAGCACCGGTGGAGATTAGCCTGAGGAGAAAGAAGGTGGTGTTTATCAGACACAGAGGCAGGGGGTTGAGCTGAAGCCTTACGGCCTCTTGTCTGTGAGGCAGAAGGCAAATGCATGCTCGTAGAGAGTCATTGGAGGAAAGTAGAGATGGGAATACAATGTTGAAGTAGTTTCTCTGATATAAAATAAAAATTCCTACTTTTAAAAACCTTGGTAAGTTGAATATATTGCAGATCCCTATTTTAAAGATTTCTGATCTTTTGCACCATTCTAGGAAGAAATCTTTGGCAATGAGAGGTGTGGATTGAAAAAAATGAGTAAATAGAACCTAATCTGAGAAAGAGAGAAGAGGTACAGGAAAGGGCATGTTATGAAATGTCTGATCCCTTAAAGCAGCGGTTCTCAACCTGTGGGTTGCGAACAATGAAAATACATCCTGCATATCAGATACTTACATTACGATTCATAACAGTTGCAAAATTACAGTTATGAAGTAGCAATGAAAATAATTTTATGGTTGGGGGTCAACACAACATGAGGAACTGTATTAAAGGGTCACGGCATTAGGAAGGTTGAGAACCACTGCCTTAAAGGGATAGGAATTCAAGTCTGCATTACTTTAGCAGTTGGTGACTTGCATATTATGGAAGTAAAAAATTCACTGATGTTGATTAAATTTATTGTGATTTCCCCCCAAGAAAGCTGTAGACTCAGAATCAAATAGCTGAAAGGAATCTCAGGAATCCTGAAATTCAAATCCTAGAAGTGTTTTTGGGTCTTCCAGGTTATTGCTTGACCCATGTAGTTTTAGGTTTCTGGCAGAGTATTTTCAAAGACTTTTAATGGTTGCTGTGGTAGACTTTTGAGCCAATGCTGACAGTTACTTTATTAATACATCTATTTCAGGGAGAAAAATTCACAGGCCTCAAAAGTGTTTATTACATCTGACTTATGTGGGCAAAAGTTCTTGTGCTTTTTAGTAGAGTCCCAGCTCCAGTTACGGTAAGTGCGCATTCCCATTGATATTCTGTGTAAATACATCTAGGGCTGCCCACCCTTCCTCCCTCCCTTCCTTTTATCCTTCTTTCCTTGGAGTAGCTTTATTGCAGTAATTTATATAACATAAAGTTGACATGTTTAAGTATACAATTAAACAATTTTTAGAAAATTTACAGGGTTGTACGACCATCACCATAATCCAGTTTTTAAAATTTCTCTAATCTTAAGATCCCTTGTGCATGATTTGTAGTCAGTCTCATTCCCATTCCCAGCCTCTGGCATCCACTCTGTAGGCTTTCATCTTTGGATTTGCCTTTCCTGGACATTTTATAGAATTGTGCAGAATGTAGCTTTTGTGGCTAGCTTCTTTCACTAGCATAATGTTTGCTAGGACCCACCATGTTGTAATGTGTGTGAGTGTGTAGTCCTCCATTGTGCAGATACATCAGGTGTGGTTTATCCCTTAGCAGTTGATGGACATTTGGTCTGTTTCTACTTTTGGACCCTTGTGAGTTAGGGGACTATGAACATTGGAGCTAAAGTCTTTGTGTAGACATACATGATTTATTTTTTCTTGGGTAGATAGATAGGAGTGGATGGTTTGGTCCAATGATAAATTCATTTTTAATTTTTAAGGAATTGCCAGATTGTTTCCAAGTAGGCTGAACTGTTTTCCATTCCCTCCAGCCACATCTGAGGCTTTCAGTTTCTCCTTGACAAGATCAGGTATTGTCATTCTCTCTGATTGTAGCCATTCTAGTGAGTGTGAAGGGTTTTAATTTGCATTTCCCTAATGATTTATGATGTTGAGCATCTTCTTGTGTGTTTATTAGCCATTTATCTTTTTAGATGAAATGTATATTCCTGTCTTTTGCACAATTATTTATAATTTTATTTTGAAATAATTATAAATCACAGGAAGTTGCAAAATACTAGAGAAGTCCTGTGTACCTTGTACTCTTTTTGCTTCAGAGTTAACATCTTACATAACTCTAGTGCATGATCAAAACTAAGAAGTTGATATCAGTATAATCTACAGACTTTATTCAGGTTTCATCAGTTTACATGGATGTGTGTGTGTGTCTACATGTATGTATGTGTGTGATTCCAGGAAGTTCTCTCAGTGTGTAGATTTGTGCAGGTGTCACATTCAAGGTATAGAACTTATTTATTACCTTAAAGGTCTCCCTTGTGCTTCTCCTTTATAGTAACACGAGAGGCACCGTGCACAAAAATCGTGTA